TTCTTTCTTTCTTTCTTTCTTTCTTTCTTTCTTTCTTTCTTTCTTTTCTTTCTCTCTTTCCCTCTTTCCTTCCTTCCTCCCCTCCCTCCTATCTTTCTCTCTCTCTTTCTTTCTCTCTTTTTCCTTCCTTCCCTCCCTCTTTTTTCTTTTTCTTTCTCTCTTTCCTTCCTTCCTTCCTTCCCTCCCTCCTTTCTTTCTTTCTCTTTATTTCTTTCTCTCTTTTTCCTCCCTCCCCTCCCTTCTCTCTCTCTCTCTCTCTCTCTCTTTCTCTCTTCTCCCTTATAAGATGACTCCTTGAATTTTCTCCCCTGAGAAAACACCCCACTATAGCCAAACGTGTTCAAAGTAACTAACCTTGGCAGGTTGTGGAAAATGCAGCCTGAAGGTTTGCAACTAACCAAGTTAATCTGTTCTGTGAATGCTACCCTGGACTAGGGAGAGATTTCCTGGGAGAGATTTTAATCCCAGCCAGTAGGTGGCAGCAGAGATTGTGGAATCTCCAGCAGTCGGGCAGATGTTTCCCCATAACAAAAGAAAAAGGGAAATTGGACTATTCTAGGAATAAAATAAGATCTGTGGACTTTAACTACTATCGTGGCTGCCTGGGGACTTCTGGGGGTTGAAGTCCACCTATCTTAAAAGTTGCTAAGGTTGGGAAAGTATTTCCAGCAGTTATTTCATCCAACATCTTAACAGATATGTCAAGACAGTGAAGAGAAGCACTAGGGGTGACATGATAGCAGTCTTCCAATATTGAAGGGCTGTCGGAGAAAAGAGGGAAGGGGTCAACCCATCCTCCAAAGCACCTGAGGGCAGGATAAGAAGTAACAGGTGGAAGAGCCACGGCGGTGCAGTGGTTAGAGTGCAGTACTGCAGGCTACTTCTGCTGTCTGCTGTCTGCCTGCAATTTGGCAGTTCGAATCTCACCAGGCTCAAGGTTGACTCAGCCTTCCATCCTTCCAAGGTCGGTAAAATGAGGATCCAGATTTTTGGGGGACAGAGGCTGACTCTGTAAACTTCCTTCCTTCCTTCCTTCCTTCCTTCCTTCCTTCCTTCCTTCCTTGTGGTTAGAATGCAGTATTGCAGGCTAATTCTGCTAATTGCCAGCAGTTCGATCCTGACCAGCTCAAGGTTGACTCAGCCTTCCATCCTTCCGAGGTCGGTAAAATGAGGACCCAGATTGTTGGGGGCAAGAGGTTGACTCTGTAAACTGCTTAGAGGAGGCCCTAAAGTACTATAAAGTGGTATATAAGTCTAAGTGCTATTGCTATTTTCTTTCTTTCCTTCCTTCCTTCCTTCCTTCCTTCCTTCCTTCCTTCTTTCCTTCCATGTGGTTAGAATGCAGAATTACAGGCTGAATCTGCCCACTGCCAGCAGTTCGATCCTGACCGGCTCAAGGTTGACTCAGCCTTCCATCTTTCCTTCCGAGGTCGGTCAAATGAGGACCCAGATTGTTGGGGGCAAGAGGCTGACTCTGTAAACTGCTTAGAGAGGGCTAGAAAGCACTGTGAAGCGGTATATAAGTCTAAGGGCTATTGTTCTTCCTTTTCTTCCTTCCTTCCTCCCTCCCTCCGTCCTATGATGTGCAGTAGTTAGAATGCAGCACTGCCAGGAGTTCAATCGTAAAATAGAACAAGACTCATTTAACACCTGCCTCGCTTAGCAGCAGAAATGTTGGGCTCCATTGTGGTCCTAAGTTAAGAACTATCTGTAGAACTATCTGAAACTTTCTGACAATGAGAACAATCAACCCATGGAACAGAAATTGCCCTCAGAAGTTGTGGGAGCACCATCACTTGAAACTTTCAAGAAGAGATTGGACTCCCATCTGTCAGAAATGGTGTAAGGTCTCCCGCTTGGGCAGGGGGTTGGACTAGATGACCTACAAGGTCCCTTCCAACTCTGATTATCTGTTATCTCTTATCTTGTGTGTGAATGCAGTCCTACATGTGGGGAGATTTCCCTGGGAGAAATGTCAGTCTCAGCCACTTGGGGGCAGCAGAGATTGTAGAATCTCCAGGGGTTGGGCAGATGTTTTTTCCTCACCAAGGAAAGGAGGAGAATTGGGCTGTTCTAGGAATAAAGTACTGTCAGTCCTCGACATACGACCACAATTGACACTTCTGTTGCTAAGTGAGATGATTGTGAAGTGAGTTTTGCACCATTTTACGACCTTTCTTGCCACAGTCGTTAAGCGAACCACAGCGGTGTAGCATAGCTGTGGAAGTGACCTACTGGGATTTTTTGGCTAACTTGGACGAAAGCAGACTGGGGTTGTGAGTATAACAAGACACAACCGTTGTTTTTACACTTTTGGTGAATGTGAGGCCATCCTGTAGGTTCGGCCTGGCATATTATAGGAACACCTTGATTTGAAAAATTTGAAAAACCATCCATGACAACCATCAAGGACCACAGCCGGAAGGCAGAAAACATGAAACCAAGTTGCTAAACTCTGTAAAGGAAAAACAGTTTCCCTGTCAATCATTTCCGATTCTAGGGCAGGGTGTTCATATTCGTTTCTTAGCCGAAGGATCCAGCGTTATCTGAGGACAATTTCTAGCATGGCTACATGCCGAAGGCGCATGAAACATTGTTACCTTCCCACCGAAGTGGTACCTATTGATCTACTCGCTGTCAGGGCTCAGCTAGTGACCCGCATTTAAATCATGAGTCTCTAGCTGGATTTTCAAAGCTTAAAGAAGATTTATTAGGAGTGAACATACCGGCGCTGCCTGGGTGTAGCCGACTCTGAGACACATCATTCACTGTCACCCTTGACCCTGGTTTTCCCCCCTACTCCCTGAATGTATCGTAATTCATATTCTCCAATGGGACACATTCATAGCCAAGAGTCATCAATCATACTCTCCAGTTAGATATTTGCGAGGCAGAAACTTCGGTCACCTAGTTGCTATCTTTGAAAACATTTATGGAATGCAGTTTCGGTTTTGCAAGCTGTTGCACTGCTCCCCCCTCCTTTTCTGTTGGCAATTCTAAAAAGACCACTGAAATATTTTATGAGTTGACACTCCCATTCACATGCTTTTGAACTGCGAAGTCGGCAGGACCTTGAGCAATGAACGGGGACCTCACCCCGTCGTGCCAAGCGTGGGTCTCGAACCTGGGAGATTCCAGACCCTGTAGTTTACTGCATAAAAAGGGAATGAAATTGCCAACATAGTAACAGATTTGGGGATCTTCAAGGAGCTTCAATGCAGGGACTGCTACCGCTGCGTAATTGTTTCTTCTTTTGGTCACAAAATAAGTTTTGCCTGCTATTTCTTGTAAATTGTGCTGTTTTTTTTTTTTTTTTAAATGATGATGAAGATGATGGCAGCTATGGAGGCCTTTATACATTATGCAGCTGGGAAGTAGCTGTATTATGATGGGAGACATGGCTATATCTGGCCCAAAACAAGATTGCACCATACCTTTATATAAGGGCATTGTTATATTTTTTTATGTAACGGCAAGAACAAAGGGTCACTGTTGATTAAGTAACTGGAACCACACAAAGCAAAGAATCAGGGGAAATCCCTGAATTGATTTGGAAGGAAAAAAGTTCCAGAACTAAGTAAAAAAAAAAAAAGAGAGAGAGAGAGAGTTAACCCTATATTGTCAATAGGATCCTCTTCTAGATAACAGAATTTCGTGTGAGAAACGGTCATAAGTCACTTTTGCCAGTGCCATTGTAGATTTGAATGGTCACTAAGATTTGAACTGCTCTAAATTGGGATTACCTGTATTCTGTCATCCATACAGAAGTTGCCCTCAGAAGTTATGGGAGTTTCATCCCTGGAGGCTTTCAAGGAGAGACTGGATGGTCACCTGACAGAAATGGTGCAGGGTCTTCCTGCTTGGGCGGGGGAGGGGGGGTTGGACTAGATGACCTACAAGGTCCCTTCCGACTCTTGTGAATCTGTAATCTGTAAAGTTCTTGCAAAGCTGCCAGGGAAAAGTTGGGAAACGGGTTTTATTTCCAGGAACACACAATTCTCTTTATCTCTTGCCCAATCTTTAATTCCAGCGTTCTCATATAACTCCTCCATTTGGGAAGGCTTACCTGAAAACTCCCTCTAAAGCTATATAAGGCTAAAAGAAAATATTAATTTTTCACGCCAAACGAGAGCCCTGTCTTGGGACCGTCTCTCTCTCTCTCTCTCTCTCTCTCTCTCTCCACCACTTCTAAACTGTGCCATCATGGGCTGGATGGGTCTAATCCTGGCAGGTGAGAAGGGAAAGGTGGAAGTAAGGAAACCACAGAGGGAGGAATCAACCGTGCAGAAGATTTAAATGGGCTGCGGTCCCCGATTCCACCTTGGTTGGGAGTTTGTTGGGAGGGGGCTCTAGACTTGCCACACTGTCGCAGATTAGGGGCACCAGGTTGGGGAAGCCACTTGGGAAGGCTGTAGAGCGGCGGAGGTGAGTCCTTTTCCATCCAGGCCCCATGCTCCGTGGCCCCACACACGTTTCTCTCATGCTCTTGCATTGCCTCAGGTGCACTCAGAGGCCGAGAGAGGAAACTGGGTGGAATGCAGGGGAGGGAGCAGGGGTGAACTTTGGAATATTGTCCTGAAAGCTTCTCTTGTCCCTGTTGAAAGTTTGCTGGTCAAGGGACTGAGTGAGTCACAGGAGCAAAGCTTGGAAAATGTGGATAACTCCTCCTGCTGCTGCTTGTTAATATCCTCCTTCCTTTTCCCCTTCCCCTTCTCTTCTCCCTCCTCTCCTCCTCCTCTCCTTCCTCCTCCTCCTGCTTCTCTATATCCTCCTCCTCCCCTTCCCTCCTCCTTCCTCTTCCCCTTCTCTTCTCCCTCTTCTCCTCCTCCTCTCCTTCCTTCTCCTCCTGCTTGTCTATATCCTTCTTCCTTTCCCCCTTCCTCTTCTCTTCTCCCTCTTCTCCTTCTACTCTCCTTCCTCCCTTCTCCTGCTGCTTGTTTATATCCTCCTTCCTCTTCCTCGTCCCCTTCCCCTTCTCTTCTCCCTCTTCTCCTCCTCCTCTCCTTCCTCCTCCTCCTGCTTCTCTATATCTTCCTCCTCCCCTTCTCTCCTCCTTCCTCTTCCCCTTCTCTTTTCCCTCTTCTCCTCCTCCTCTCCTTCCTTCTCCTCTTGCTTGTCTATATCCTCCTCCCCTTCTTTCCTCCTTCCTCTTCCCCTCCTCCTCTTCTCCTCCCTCTTCCTCCTCCTGCTTGTCTATATCCTCCTTCCTCTTCTTCTTCCCCTTCCCTTTCTCCTCCTCCTCTCCTGTCCCCCCTCCTTCTCCTGCTTGTCTATATCCCTCTTCCTCTTCCCCTTCTCTTCTCCCTCTTCTCCTTTTCCTCTCTTTCCTCCCTTCTCCTGCTGCTTGTTTATGTCCTCCTTCCTCTTCTTCTTCCCCTTCCCTTTCTCCTCTCCCTCTCCTGTCCCCTCCTTCTTCTCCTGCTTCTCTATATCCCTCTTCCTCTTCCCCTCCTCCTCCCTCTTCCCATTCCCCTCTTCCTCCTCCTCTTCTCCTCCTCTTCCTCCTTGTCTATATCCTCCCGCTCCTCTCCTTCCCCTTCCTCCTCCTCCTCCTCCTCCTCCAATTAAGACTTCTGGCGAACACAGAAACCAGCACCTCTTATGAATTTGAGTGGTCCTAATTAAGTTACTGGGACGTGGTGGCTCAGCGGCTAAGACGCTGAAAGGTTGGCGGTTCGAATCCCGAGCACCGCGTAATGGAGTGAGCTCCCGTTCCTTGTCCTAGCAGCTTCTGCCAACCTAGCAGTTTGAAAGCACGTTAAAAAAAATGCAAGTAGAAAAAGAGGGACCCACTTTGGTGGGAAGGGAACAGCGTTCCGTGCTCCTTCGGGCGTTTAGTCATGCCGGCCACATGACCCTGGAGACGTCTTCGGACAGCGCTGGCTCTTCGGCTTTGTAATGGAGATGAGCACCAGCGCCCCCTAGAGCCGGAAACAATGAGCATGGGTGTGTGAGGGGAACCTTTTACCTTTAATAAAGTTATACTCTAGTTAGGAATTTAGATGGGCAGTCTATTGTTGTTTTTTGTCCCCCTTGCAAGGCTCAAAATGGTTATGTTGGAGTTTGATTGTGTATGAAGCATTAGTTTCTTTGTTTAGTTTTGTAAGCTTCCCATCTCATAATTTCGGGGCAATTTGGAGTGCCTTCCGACGTGAAAGCGATTGAAGCGACGTTCACCTCCTCTTGTTTCTTTCAGGCTTTCCAGTTTGGGCTTTGGCCTCCAACTTCCCACCATCGGAAACCATCCACATAGCCCAATTCCCACCCTACCACACTTTTGGGAAAATGATCCTCCTCTTTCTAGATGACCCCCGATCCCCTACTGCCTGCAACTGGTTCCGAGGGAGAGATCAAAGCGAGGAAAGTCACATTTTGAGAGGGCAGTCCGATCCCGTCTCGGGATTCTATAGAATCAACCAAACGGGTCCAGCCTTCACGGGACGGGAAGATGTGGAGAGAGGATGCTCCTTAATCATCCAAAATGGACAGGACTCTGATGCTGGCCCTTACACTGTCTCCATGATGGGGCTGGGAGGAAAGGATCATGTAACTGGAATGAGAAACCTGCAACTTTCTTGTAAGTATCGAAGACGGGGGTTGCGGAGCTATCGGAAAAGAATCGAGTTGGGATCTATTCGGTGGTGGTATTTCAAATGATTTTACTAACCGGTTCTGTGGGTGTGGCTTGGTGGGCGTGGCTTGGTGGGCATGGCAGGGGAAGGACACTGCAAAATCCCCATTCGCTCCCCACCCCACTAACCTGCTTTCCAGCTCTGTTCTCCTATGCAGGGCAACCAAAGAAGACCCAGCCGATCAGCTGGGACTCGATGAGAGGCAGAGAATAGATGGGGTTGGCGGGGCCAGTCAGAGGTGATATTGGCTGGTTTTCCAAACTATTCAAAATTTCTGCTACCAGTTCTCCAGAACTGGCCAACCCGGGATCTATTGGTGGGGGACAACTGAAGGGTAAAAGGGAAGAATGGCCTTAGGGACTCCTGTTCCCTCCCCTTCCCTCCCCCCTTCCTCTAACCTCCCCTCCTCTAACTTCCCCTCCCCTAACTTCCTCTTCTCTTCTCCATTGTTTCCCCTCTTTCTCTTTGGTCTTCCCTTTCCTTCCCCTTCCTCCTCTTCCTCTTCCTTCCTTCCCTTCCCCTCCTTTCCCTCCCCTCTTCTCCTCCAACTTCCCCTCCCCTAACCTCTCCTTCAGTGGTGGGATTCAAAAAATTTTACTACCAGTTTTGTGGGCATGGCTTGGTGGGCATGGCAGAGGAAGGATACTGCAAAATCTCCATTCCCTCCCCACCCTACTAACCTGCTTTCCAGCTCCGTTCTCCTGTGCAGGGCAACCAAAGGAGACCCAGCCAATCAGCTGGGACTTAGGAGGCAGAGAATAGATGGGGGGTGGGGCCAGTCAGAGGTGGGATTTGGCGGTTCTCCGAACTACTCAAAATTTCTGCTACCAGTTCTATAGAACTGGCTGAATTCCACCTCTGATATTCCAGATTCTCCTTTCACCCCCCATCCCGAAGCCACCCGCTTGGTCCAGTTCCCACCAAACCCACGGGTTGGGCAATCAGTCTACCTGTACTTAGACGATATCCCAAAACCTACCAACTGCAGCTGGTTCCGTGGGAAGGATCAACGCGAAGAAGGACGGATCTTCAGAGCAAAATTTAGTAGGACCAGCCATTCCTATCTCATTGATCAAAAAGGAGCAGCCCACAGAGGACGGGAAGAGGTGTGGAGAGCATGTGCCTTAGTTATCCGAAAAGTGGAGGCCTCGGATGCTGGACCTTACACAATCTCCATGGGGGATGAGTGGGACGTGTATCCCATAACGGCATGGAGAGAATTGCGAGTTTCCTGTAAGTGATGGGGACTGTGAAGATGTTGGAAAAGGATTGAGTGTGGGGGTAGGAGGTAGAATCTATTAGTAGGGGCAACGGAGAGGCAAAAGGAGAAGGATAACACTGAAGTACAGGTAGACAGAAAGGAAGGGAGGGAGGAAGCAAGGAAGGAAGGAGATGGCAATGAAAAGAAGGAAGGGAGGAAATGAGAATTGGAGGGAGGGTGGATGGATGGAAGGAAGGAAGGAAGGAGGGAAGGAGTTGGCAGTGAAAAGAAGGAAGGGAGGAAATGAGAATTGGAGGGAGGGTGGATGGATGGAAGGAAGGAGGGAAGGAGGGAAGGAGGGAAGGAGTTGGCAGTGAAAAGAAGGAAGGGAGGAAATGAGAATTGGAGGGAGGGTGGATGGATGGAAGGAAGGAAGGAACGAAGGAGATAGCAATAAAAAGAAGGAAGAAAGGAGATAGTAATAAAAAGAAGGAAGGAAATGAGAATTGGAGGCAGGGTGGAAGGGAGGGAGGGAGGAAAGAAGGAAATGGGAATTCAGGAAGGTAAGAAGGAAAGAAGGGACAAAGGAAGGAAGGAAATGGGAATGAGGAAAAAGAGCAAAAGAAGGAAGGAAGGAAGGAAGGAAGGAAGAAAGAAAGAAAGAAAGAAAGAAAGAAAGAAAGAAAGAAAGAAAGAAAGAACAAAGGGCTAGAAGATAATAGAATTGATACCAAAAGGGAAAACTGAAGAACTAATAATATTCATCCTCTCATTTATTTTGCAGCCTAGAGATGCTTGGGAGATGCCTCTGTCCATTTGGGCGTCTTGATCTTTGGAAGAGAAACAAAGAAGCTGCAGTCCGTCAGCCACGGGGGATCCCCAGAAGGGATCCGCCATTCACTTTGTCTGTGATCCCTCCCTGGCTTCTTCCCTTCACCCACCAGCATTAAAATGTCTTCTGGCAAAACGGATGTGTCTTCTAGGAACAACTCTTTGCGATGCGGTTCTCAGGACCCCAAAATCCAGATTCGCTTCTCTATCTGCTGATATAAAATAGCTTGGAAGGGTGCCATTTGCCAGAAGCATCCTCTGCACCCACTGGTGGCATTCAGTCGGTTCACACCGGTTCGGGCGAACTGGTTGCAAAGATTGGGCATGGGTCACCAAACTGGTAGTAACTTCTGCCTGGTCATTCCCCTGACCCAGTCACCTGGTCGCTGCTCTTTGCTTGCCCCACCTGGTCTGATGCTCACTCACCCCGCCCGCCTGATGCTAGCCCACCCAGTCACTCCTTAAGGTATTTCTTTTTTTCTCTCCTCCCAACGATCAGCTGTTCCCACAATCAGCTGTGCTGGGATTCCCCTGGCTTGCTTACTGCTTCGCCCAGGAGGCTTCCCTGAGGCCCAGGAAGGCAACCCCTCCTCTGTTTTTTCCCCCTTCCTGAGTCTGAGGGGAGGCTTCTGGGAGCAAAAACACCCCCCCAGGAGGCTTCTCTGAGGCCCAGAAGACCCCAAAATGAAGTGGTGGGGGTGGTGTGCGCCCCCGCACAATTTTCTGCCTTCCTGAGCCCTAGGGAAGCCTTCTGGGAGAAAAAACGCCCCCCCTCAGGATGCTTGCCTGAGGCCCAGAAGGCCCCCCAAAATGGAGGTGGCAGGGGTGTGGGGTGCTGCAAGAAAGAGAGAGAGAGAGAGAGAGAGAGAGAGAGAGAGAGAGAGAGAGAGAAGGAGAAAGAAGAAAGAGAGAGAGAGAGAGAGAGAGAGAGAGAGAGAGAGAGAAAGGCTCTTTCCTACCATTGACCTCCCTCATCAAATGTAGGGGACTATACCACAGCTTTCATTATGGGCATTGTAGTCCAGTCCATCTTGAATGCAGCAGGCTGGAACATACCAGCAGGCCTCCTTGCAGAGGTGGAATGGACTATGATGGTTTAGTAACCGTTGTTTTAAGCCGCCTAGCCTCGTTTAAGCGAGACGGGTGGTGCAGAAATGGATCAATAAATAAAATAAAAGCAAAAATTTATCCACATGGAACACGCCAATTGGCCTCTGCACCATCGCACACCCACAGGCCCAACTCTTGGGATATGATGAGGATACATTAAACGGCTGGCTCTATCTCGGCGTTGCTGATGCGTGCCTGGAGCAAGCCAAACTGGTTTTATCAATCCTGGTTCAGCTGGTTTTTAGCTCTATGGCTTGGCAACAGCAGCAGCTGTATTCTCCTCTTACACTCAGAGGGAAGAGAATTCCTTTCTTCACAAAACTTTTCCCTCTCCTGACTCCATCTGGGGTGAAACATTGAATCCCACCACTGGTTGAGATGTCCCACGGTCATTGCAATGTGCAACGTTTCTGGCCGGCTATTGACAGGGAAAATCTATGGGGCAAGCCAGAGTCACTTAAGAATTGCTTTGCTTAGCAACAGGTTGTCTGGATCCAATTCTGGTCATAAGTCGAGGACTACCTGTAGTAGCTAATAGCCAGGGGTGGGATCTGACAGGGTTAACTACCGGTTTGGTGATTAAACGAGGTTGGGTGATTTACGATGTGCTTCCCTGCACGCTGCCGGCCACCCCTGTAAATCGTCATCACCACGCTGCGTGCAGAGAAGCAGCTTTTCAAAAAGCACTTTTTTTCCTGCTTTTTAAACTGCAGCTGTGAAAAAGCAGGAAATAAAGGTCAGGTAAGAGCCTGGGCAGGCGGGTGGGACAAAACAGCAGCAGACATAGAACTGGTTCTATGTCTGCTGCTCTTCAGAGCTACCGGTTCTACAGAGGCAGACAGAACCAGTAGAAACCCACCCCTGCTAATAGCCACAAGTCATCAAAGCCTTTGAAACAAGTGTGTCATTGAACATGGAGAGAGAGAGAGAGAGAGAGAAGGAGAGAAAGAAAGAGAGATTGAGATAGAGAGCGAGAGAAGAAGGAGAGAAAGAAAGTGGAAGAGAGATTGAGACAGAGAAGGAGGAGGAGGAGAGAAAGAGAGATTGAGAGAGAGAAGAAGGAGAGAAAGAAAGATTGAGAAAGAAAGAAGGAGAAGGAGGAGAAGGAGAAAAAGAAAGAGAGATTGAGAGAGAGGAGAAGGAGAGAGAGAAAGAAAGAGAGAGAGAAGGAGGAGGAGAAGGAGAGAGGAGAGAAAGAAAGAAAGAAAGATTGAGAGAGGGAAGGAGGAGAAGAAGAAGGAGAGAAAGAACTGATTCCATCCAGGGTTAAACGTTGGCTTGTTCCCCCCTGGTTTAAAAGCACACTGAGAAGAATTTCAACCATCCCTCCCTTGGTTCTTGATCTGGATTATAAAGAGCATCCAGAATTAAAGGCCCAGGTACCAATATATCAATTTTTTAGATTTATACCACCTGAATGTCGATAGAGCTTTTCACTCACCCAGGACACGGTTGTCCCAAAAGATGCTTTTTCCAAAAGACAACTAGACTTCCTTGTTTGTTTGTTTTTTCCTTTGAAGACGTTTCATTTCTCATCAGAACTGAAGAAGCCTCTTGGATGAAACAGCGAAATGTCTTCAAGGGAAAAACAAAAAACCAAGTCCAGTTGCCATTTGAAAAACACCTTTGGGATTTATACAACCTATTTTTCCTCCCTTTGATGGTATAACAAAGCTCTTTCCTCATTCAGGCGCTGGTTGGGCTCCATCATAAACCACCCCAATATCTGGGTTTACAAAACTACAAATCAGGATTGGGATGCTTGATTGCACCTGGGGAAACCCTTGAAGACACTGTCTTTTAGGAATGGATCTAGAGCATTGCTAATCAATCTTGGGAACTTTGAGAAGCGTGGGCTTCAATTCCCAGAATTCACCAACCAGCCAAGTTGCTTGGAGAAGTTTGGGAGTTGAAGTCCATGCATTAAGATGTTCCCAAGGTTGGATAAATTAAGTCCAGGCATTAGGAAGTTCCCAATACTATCCTAGAAACAACTATAATTTGTTCTTGTGTTGTTGTTTTTAAAAAAAGACACATCAAAGCAGGCTTCTCTTCTCTCCCAGAGGAGGAGCAAGGGTGTTTCTATGCATGTGCAGAAGGCATTCCTCCCTTCTATAGCTTACGAATGACTTGGTTCCCCTGGCATACTTGAGCTTGAAAACAAAACGAAAATTTCCGATCTCTTAAGGAACGCCTGCGCCACCAATGTGCAATTTCTCATGAGTCATGCAACCCACAACTTTCCAGCACACACACACAAAAATCTAGTTGTGACCACGACATTCCAGGCCAACACAATGTGAAAAAGGAGGAGGCCTTGCTTGACAGATTAAGGGCCGATTTTGGGGCCAACTAGAGCAGTCTATTTTAACCAGGTCAGAGAATGTCTAACGGACATGTTGATTCGGTGTGCTAAATTTGGGGGAAGGTGCCTTAAAAGAAGATGTCTTGCTTTGGGGTAAGGTAAAGTGTGTGAATTCCAGCCATTGGTTTAATTAGTGGAAAGATCCATGATGGTGAACCCAGAAAATAGGTTTAGTGGGCAAGGCAGGGGTGGGGATTCTATTGGTTTGGACTGGTTCTATAGAACTGGTTATTATGATTCTGCGCAGTTTGGCGAACCGGCAAATCATGACCCTGGCTGGCCCCGCCCCTCTCCACCTGCCCCTCCCCTTCCCACCCAGTCAGTCCTTATCGCGCATGCCCAACATTGCCGACTGCATTCTCCTGCACCCGGTCACTCCTTAAGGTATTTCTTTTCCCTCCCTGCCAACAATCAGTTGTTCCGATGATCAGCTGTTCCGGGATCCCGCTCTCTGTCTTACTGCTTTGCCCAGGAGGCCCAGAAATGGAGCACAGGGAGGAGGGGGGCACTGCGCCCCCCCCCTGCACTCCATTTTTTGCTTTCCTGGGCCCCAGGGAAGCTTTCTGAGAGCAAAAACGCCACCCCCTCGGAGGCTTCCCTAAGGCCCAGGAGGCAAAAAACAACAAGAAGGAGGGATGCTGCAAAAAAAAAAAAAAGGCCACACTTACCCAGTCATATAGCCACACCCACATAGCCACGCCCATATATCCACGCCCACAAACCCGGTTGTTAAAAAATTTGAATCCCACCCCTGGGGTAAGGCACCAGGTTAGAAAATGGGAAAGCAAGAAAGGCCACTGGGTGACTCTGGGCCAACCACCAGGAAACGGTGAGTTCTAGTCCCGCCTTAGGCAAGTAAGGCCACTGGGTGACTTTGGACCAATCACCAGGAGACAGTGAGTTCTAGTTCTGCCTTAGCCATGAAAGCTGGCTAGGTGACTCTGGGCCAATCACCAGGAAACAGTGAGTTCTAGTCCCGCCTTAGGCAAGTAAGGCCACTGGGTGACTTT